CTTTTCAGTACGTTTCAGTTCCTTGTAGATGCAGATGTTAAGCCTTTGTCAGACCTAGAGTTGGCAAAGACTTTTTCCCAGTCTGTAGGCTGTCTTCCTGCTCTCTTGATGGTTTCTTTGGCTTTGCAGAAGCTTGTCAGTTTAATAAGGTCCCATTTGTCTATCTTCTCTCTTAAGTCCTGTGGGTTTCGGGTTTTGTACAGGAATTGGATGCCAGTTCCGATTTCCATGAGAGTATTTCCTTCCTTTTCTAAGGTTCTTATGGTTTGAGGTTTTACATTTAGGTCTCTGATCCATTTGGAGTTAACCTTTGTGCATGGGGATAGATAAGGGTCCTGTTTCAATCTTCTGCATGTGGTCAACCAGTTTTCCCAGCACCATTTACTGAATAGGTTCTCTTCTCCCCACTGGTAGGTGGTGGGTCTGCCCCCTTTTTAATTAGAGTTCCACATCTCGTGTTTGTCATGTGTTTCCTCCTGATTAGACTAAGGCTATGCATAGAGGTCAGATCCCTACAGATGCTCACATTCTGACCTTGACATTCACAATGTCAGGCTGGGCCCCAGCATTCCCTCACACCTCCTGGCAGATGTCCTGGCAGCAGAGTCATCTGTAACCTTGCTGCTGGGGTATGCAGACCCACTACACCGACCTACGACCTTCCCTCCCCACCCATCAGTCGCCCTGGTGACCCTGCCCCTGGACGGCCCACTCCTGTCTCGGGAAGGTGCCCTGCCCCATTGTGATGGCACACGGCAGGAGCTTGTGGAACCTGTGCGACCCACTCAAAGTAAGAATAAAATAGGACTCCACTGGAGAGACCTGCTAGACAGGAAGACAGTGACCCTGAAGACCATGACCCTAGAGACACATGATCCTGGAGACCATGACCCTACACACTGTGACCCTGCAGATGTGTGGACCTGGAGACTGTGCCCCTGGAGACAGGTGACTCTAGAGACCGTGGCCCTGGAGACGCATGGCCCTGGAGACCATGGCCCTGGAGACTGTGTCCCTGGAGACCATGACCCTGGAGATCCATGGGCCTGGAGACCATGGACCTGGAGACATGTAACCCTGAAGACATGTAACCCTGGAGACTGTGGCCCTAGAGATGCATGGCTCTGGAGAGGTATAGATCTGGAGACATGAGGACCTGGAGACTGTGGCCCTAGAGACACACAGACCTGGAGACTAAGTCTTCTCCGGAAGTGCAGTTGCTGTCCTGCCCATAGTGCAGACAGGCCAGGACTTGCACCTGGACTCACCTTGAACTGTAACTCATTAATCAAAAAGAAAATGTGCCCCATGTGCCAGGATCCTAACAATTAAATTATCCAAATGAAAAACACCACCAGACATGAAGCAGCATCTCCCGGGCTGTCTGTCATGGTAAGGGTGGCGGGGTCTTCCCAAGACCAGCTAGTGTTGTACAGGGAGAGCAGAAGCCCAGAGACCTTAGGCCTTAGAACATGGCTGGGTGAGGAGGATGAGCGCTCAGCCGAGACGTCTCCGTGGGTCCACCATGCAGGTCACCTCAGAGAGTCCCTTCCAGAACCCCGTAGGAAGGCTGTATTGTCTGCCTCAGTTCACACATGGCTGGAAATGCACACTCAGAGAGGTCAAGCCACAGGCAGAGTCACACAGAAATGAGGTGTGCACCTGGTGGATCCTCCAGATCTCTCTGACTCTGCCTTTCAGTGCTATTGTTCACCCTCTGTGGTCCATGCATTTTACGAATTGGAAAACAGGCCGCCTGGGGAAGCAGAACACAGATGCAGTAGCAGTTCACCTTCCTGCTGCTGTGCAGACTTGGAACCAGCGCATTCCACTTCTCATTTATTCATTTGTAAACACTGAAAGGTCATTAGGACCAGTGTTACTGGCCCAGTTTTCAGATGTGAAACAGAAAGGCGGCCACGAGGCACAGTGCTCTCTGGAAACCAGATGGAGGAGCCGTGAGGATGTGACCAGAGGCTGCCCCGGTGCTGGCGCATAGAGCTTGGATGTGCGCCACAGGGCTGGAGGCCAGGAGAGTCTAGTGGCCACGTCCCAACCAGTGGGCAGGAGCTCTGCTGCCGAGAATAAACCAGACAATGCAGGGTGGTGGTGGGGTATCCAGCCCCACACCAGGCCAGAACAGGTGGGCAGGCCCCCTGGTTCGTCGCATGTGACCTGAAATCACAATCCCTGGCAGGTCTGGGCTTCAGCCCAGGTGGACTTGAGGGCAGAGGCCCGCTCTGGTCCCCATGTGCAGGGCCATGCCACCGCCCTCTCCCTTGGTTAGAGGAAGTGGGAGGCGGACTGGGCTGGCGTGGCCACCCACCACTCCCGGGTCTGCGTCTGTGGCACACTCGCCCATGCCCACATCTGGAGAGCTAATCCTCACAGGTCCAGCCTTGGAACCAGACAAATGGGGTGTTCTCCAATCTACCACCTCCCTCCTCCACTCCAGCCCCCAGGGTGTTGGTCCACCAGGACGCTCTGAGCCCTGTGTGTACCCACTCTGGGTGATGAGTCATTCCTTCCGAGAAGGGCACTGTGAATCCCCAAAGAGGAAGATTGAGTGGTGGCATCTTGAGCCTTGTAGGAGCCCCCAGGGGGTTTCTGTCTCATGGGTGGGGTGGAGCCGTGTGGCTAATAGAACAGGAACCTTCCCAGGAGATAGGAATGTCGACCAGACAGCTGCTTCGGACGGGTCCTGAATAAGTGTGCTGTGGCTGACCCCAAGGGCAGCAGGGGTGGCCATGGGCAGGGAGGACTCGGAATGGGATAGTCTCGGTCACCCCGGCAGAGGGCACTTTCTCGGCTCCTTCTTGCTAAGCCTGAACTGTGCCCTGGGCTCCCCAGGAGGCCGATCCCAGGGTCCATCCATCTTGCTGTTGTGAGAAGTGGACGCATTCCTCTAGGGTGGCCGCCTTGCTGGCTCTCTCACCCTGGCAGGGCGCCACTCGTGAGAGGCCTGGACCTCACCACCCCTACCTGAGCCTCACTGCCTCTACCTCCACCTCACTATCTACCTTCCTCCTCAGGAAAACCTTACGGTGCAGACGACTTCCTGCCGGTGCTCATGTATGTCCTGGCACGCAGCAACCTGGCGGACATGCTTGTGGACGTGGAGTACATGATGGAACTTATGGACCCCGCCCTGCAGCTGGGGGAGGGTGAGTTCCCATCCCTGGGCACCCAGCCACACCTGGGCACTCAGGTAGCCCAACAGGGTTGGGTGCCAGACTCTGACTGGGATCTGTGGCCATGAACCTGAATCCCCCACAGGCCCTCCTAGAGAGCTCAGACTAGGAGGAGAGATGAGCCACAGAGGGACTGTGTCACCTCCACATGCCACGTGTTGGGATGGTGAGAAGCCCAGATGGTGTGGGAGCATGTTACCCACACAGTGCAGTCAGGGAAGGCTCCCCAGAGTAGGTGATGCCTGAGCTGTGCATTGAAGAATGAATAGGAGCCAGCCAATAAAGAAAGGGAAAAGGCAGTCCTGGTGGAGGGAGCAGTGGGAGCTGTAGTGCAAGAGACGAGGCTGGAGCAGGGCCTTGTTCACGAGAGGAGCATGGCAGGGAGTGATGGGCACCTCTTGGCCGGGGTGGCCTTCAGGGACCCTCAGACCTTGTGAATCAGGCCTGGGCCAGGACCTCTACCCATGGGAAATGGTGAATGATTTGGGTGACAGGCCTCAGCCCAAGGATGAAGGCGGGGGTGTGACTGGCTCCACCCTGCCCTCAGTTTCCCTTCCCCTTTTCTCCTCCCACCACATCCTACCACCCACTTGGCCTCAGCTACCCCCACCAAGCACGTCTTGAGGGGTAGCCAGCCTAGACACGACTGAGACAGTGGAGGATGGAGTGAGGCCCCAGGCCTGAGTGTCCCCTGGGCTTTGCAGCTCTAGAGGTCAGTGGACCTCTTGGTGCGTGCTCTGGTCTCTGGGCTATCCGTGTGACATACTGCTCTGTGAGCATGTTAAAGACCTGAGTGTCCTCTGGGCTTTGCAGCTCTAGAAGTCAGCGGACCTCTTGGTGCGTGCTCTCGTCTCTGGGGTGTCCGTGTGACATACTGCTCTGTGAACATGTTAAAGCCATGATGTTTGCTGTCATGTATAGTTTTGGTTTGTGGTTCTGAGGCCTCAAGCTTTTTTTTTTCCTGTTTATTTTAAAAATTCCTGTAGATGGAACTTGATTTCCAGGAGGTCCAGGGACTCAGGAGAAGCTGAGTTTTCTTCAGCAATAATTATATGCTGCCCACTGCATCTGTCCAGCCATACGTCTCCTCATCTATCCATTCATTTATCTATCCATCCATCCACTCATCTGTTCATAATCTACCCACCAGTTCATCCATCCATCCATCTATCCATCCATTTGTCCATCCATCCATTCATCTGTTCATTCATCTATCCATCCATTCATCCATCCATCCATCTATCCATCCATTCATCTGTCCATTCATTTATCCATTCATCATCCATCATTCCATCAATCCATCCATTTATCTATCCATCTGTCCATTTGTTCATCCATCCATCCAACCATTTATCCATCCATCCATCCGCCCATCCATCCATCCATTCATCATCCATCCATCCATCCGCCCATCCATCCATCATCAATCTGTCCATCTGTCTGTCCATCCACCCATCCATCCATCATTCCATCAATCAATCCATCCATTTATCTATCCATCTGTCCATTTGTTCATCCACCCATCCAACCATTTATCCATCCATCCATCCGCCCATCCATCCATCCATTCATCATCCATCCATCCGCCCATCCATCCATCATCAATCTGTCCATCTGTCTGTCCATCTACCCATCCATCTGTCCATCCACCCATCCATCTGTCCATCCACCCATCCATCTATCATTCCATCAGTCAATCCATCCATTTATCTATCCATCTGTCCATTTGTTCATCCACCCATCTAACCATTTATCTATCCATCTATCCATCCATCCACGCATTCATCTGTCCATTCATCATCCATCCATCTATCCATCCGTCCATCCATCCATCTACTCATTTATCCTCCTTCTATCATTCCATCAATCATCCATTTATCCATTCATCTGTCCATTTGTTCATCCATCCATCCATCCATCCATTTTTTCATCCATCTGTCCATTTGTTCATCCATCTATCCAACCATCTATTCATCTGTTCATCTATTTATCCATCCATCCATCCATCCAATCCATGTGTTCACTCATCATCCTCCATCCATCCATCCGTCCACCCATCCATCCATCATTTCATCAGTTCATCCATGTATCCACCCATCTGTCCCTTCGTTCATCCATCCAGTCAACCATCCATCCATCCATCCATCCATCTATCCATTTATCCATCCATCCATCCATCCATCTATCCATCCATTCATCTGTCCATCCATCCATCCATACATCCATCTATCCATCCATTCATCTGTCCATCCATCCATCCATACATCCATTTATCCATACATCATCCATTCATCATTCCATCAATCCATCCCTTTATCTATCCATCTGTCCATTTGTTCATCCATTCATCCAACCATCCATCCATGTATCCATTTACCCATCCACCCATTTACCCATCCATTCATCTATCTGTGCATTCCCCATCTATCTGTCCATCCATTCATCTGTCCACCCATCATTCCATCAATCCATCCATTTATCCATCCATCCGTCCATTCATTCATTCATTCATCCATCCATCTTTCCATCCATCCATCCATCTATCCATTTATTCATCCATCCATTCATCATTCCATCATTGCATCATCCATCCATCCATCCATTTGTCCATCCATCTATCCATCCATGTATCCATCATACATCCATCAATCCATTTATCCATTCATTCATTCATCTGTCCATTCATCCGTACATCAATCCAACAGTCCATCTATCTATCTATCCATTTATCCACCCACCCTTCCATCCATTCATCTACCCATTCACCCACTCATCCGCCCACCCCGACACTTGACTGCAGTGTGGGATGAGGTAGGTGAGGCTAATAGCCTCATGTGAATGAGCAAATGCTTTATTCTGCACCCACGTTTTGGGACCTCCACTTCTTCATGCCTTCGTGGGTCTTCTTACTCACTTCCTGCAGGAAGGGAAGCTCTGATCCTGCACATGGAATCACTGCAGAGCTGAGGTGGTGGCCAGGGCCCCGGGCTCCACTGATCTGTCCCTTATAGGCCCCGCCCCCTGCAGAGAGGGAGCAGATGGTCACACCTGTGAAGGGCACTGGCTTCCTACCACAATCCCTGAGCACCTGTCTCCGAGGGCTAGCCTTGAAAGGGACCCACCTGAGGTCTTAGGAAGAATCTTGTCTGTGGTCTGTGCCTGCCAGAAGACCTTTACATGTCAGAAACTCCCATACATAGAACAGAGTGTGAACAGTCAGCCTGGGCAACACTCTCTCAGACCAGCATGCCTAGAGCTGGCAGCCTCAGCTTATAGAGAGCTCTCAGATATCAACAAGAAACATGCGGAGACCTTCATGGGCCCCTGGGCAAAGGCCGTTCCTCATCCGTTCAGGAGATGTCACTGAGTCTCTGGACAGCCACGGACCCCTTTTTCATTCCTGTGGGGAGAATCAGACCTTACACAGGTTACACAAACAGCAGACCAGTTGGTTCCCATGTGATGCATGTTGAGAAGTGAAATGGGCCTGTGTGCTAGGAGGTTGGCCAGCTCAGGCCTTGAGGAGGCGCCCTGCACAGTGGTGGCTCCTGCTCCTAGCCTGTTTCCCATACTTCCCACAATGGGTGTGTGCTGCTGATGTTTCTGGAGAAATCATTTAAAACTCTTGCTAGGCTGGGTATGGTGGCTCACACCTGCAGTCCAGCTACTTAGGAGGATATAGCAGGAGGATTGAGACTAGCCTGGACAACATAAACAACCTCGTCTCTATAATAAATAAATAAATAAATAGCCAGGCATGGCAGTGTGCACCTGAAGTCCCAGCTACTTGGGAGGCTGAACCAGGAGGATTGATTGAGCCTAGGATTTTGATGCCACCACTGCACTCCAGCCTGGGTGATAAAGTGAGACACCCCCCCCATCTTAAAAATCATAATAACAATAACCTGCTAAAGAAATACCACCAGCCCCACAGAGTTGTGAGTCTGAGAGACAGTGTCCATGATGGTTCTCTGCGGTGGGCGGATGGAGAGGAGGGACTCTGCAGGGCGGCCTGTGCACCAGACCCTCCGGTGTGGCCGCCTACTTGCTGGGCACTGAGAAGCCTACTCCATCCTCAGCCTCAACCCTTGCAACCAAACAGAACTCCAGCCAGGCCCTGTGGCTGAGCTGCGATGGGTGGGCACATGCTTGAGCCAGCAGCCCCTTCCCACGGACTTCATCCCCCAGTCCTGCCATGGGCTCGGAAATCCCCCTTCCTGTTCCCAGAAACTGAGGGCTTCTCAGTGGGAAGGGGAGGCCCTGCCACAGAGCCCTGTTCCAGGCTACTTTGAGTGTGCTGGGGACACGCCCAAGGACACATGAGTCCAGGAGGTCTCAAGCAGTTCACAGATCCAGGCCCAAGGCTGTCTGAGCACCTGCAGCCTGGGGCCCGTGGTTGCTCATGGCCAGAGGATGGACTCCTGTGCAGCGCACACTAGCAGGTGGGAGCATGGAGGCTGCCCTGCACCCCTCCTGCCCATCCCTGTACCAGCTGTGGCAGCCACAGCACTGGGACAGGGTTTTGCCTCTGGCATGGAAATGGCTGAGGCTCCCACGTGGGTGGGGACTCCACCTTTCAACAGCCTGGGGCCTCCATCTAGAAGTATCTGGGCCCAGGGCAGAGGGGCAGGCGTGCGGTTGCAGTCAGTATCTAGCAAGGACTGCTCCCTGGTTCATAAGTGGTGCCTTTTTGATGTGTTCTCATGTAGCAGAAGGCACGAGGTAGCTCTCTGGGGCCTCATTTATTTATTTATGTGCTTGTTTTGAGTTGGAGTTTCACTCTGTCCCCATGCTGAAGTGCAGTGGCATGATCATGGCTCACCACAGCCTCAACCTCCTGGGCTCAGGCCATCCTCCTGCCTCAGCCTCCCAAGTGACTGGGACTACAGGCACATGCCATGACACCCAGCTAATTTTTTTGTAGAGATGAGTTCTTGCTATGTTACCTAGGCTGGTCTCAAACTCCTGTGCTCAAACAATCCTCCCGCTTCAGCCTCCTAAAGTGCTGAGATTATAGGCGTGAGCTACCATATAGGGTCTCTTTTATAGGGACACTGATCCCATTCAGGATACTCCACCCTCACTACCTCATGGCCTCTGAAAGGCCCCACCTCCCAACACCATCACGTGGAGGGTTGGATTTCAGCATATGCCTTTGCAGGCACAGACATTCAGGCCGCAGCATTCAGGGCAGGATGCGATGAGCAGGGCCCTGCCTTCCCGTGGTCTGCAGTTCGTGTGCGCACGCCACTCTGTTTTGCAGGGCCACAGTCAGGGTCTGTGCACTTGGGCCTGTCCACCCTTGTGATTCAGCAAAGGGCTGACCGGGGCTGCCCTGTCTCCCTGTCTGCTGCAGACGTACAGGGCAGGAGAGACCAAGGGTTCCTTGTGGCAGTAGGGGGGGTTGCCGCGGGGTAGGTGGGACTGTGGCCCCTTTGCCTTTCCTGCCTCTCTGCTCAGTCTACTGGCTCTGGGACACCGTGGGGCAGAGGAGACCCAGGCACTGCAGGATAGGCCTCTCCCAGCTGTGCCCCCGTGGTTCCTGTGCCCATGCCCTCCCCACACAGGCTAATGGCTGGCCATGCCTGGCCAGTATGCAAGGTTTTTTCAGTCCGTGGACAGTGCCCTCACCCCAGGGAAGAGGCTCTGAATAGCACGGCAGGGTTGCCCGCCACCTAGTGGTCCTGGTTGGTGCTGCGTGCCCCAAGGAAAGGGAAGTCCTGGAGGTCCAGCTGCAGTGCCACCACCTCGCCTGAATTCCTGGCCAGAGGAATGGAGCAGGCAGAAACCAAAGAGGTCTGTCAGCTGGCTCTGTCCTTCAAGGTCTTTCCTGGAAGCCCCCCCCCACTCCCGCACATCCCCGCCCCCTTGCATCTAAGGAGCCAGAATGGTCTCCTGCCTCGTCCTAGCTGCAAGGGACTCTGGGAACTTCCCCAGCACAAGGGAGTTGTTACTTAGGTAGCAGGGCCAGGTGGGGCTGGGGTGGGTCACCAGCCAAATCTGCCTCACAACCTGACACTGAAAAGCCAGGCAAAAAGGCCTGCTGGTGTTGGGGAGGCCATGGAAGCAGGCAGCCTGGGATCACAGAAGAGCCAGGCGCCCAGAGCCCCCCTTCTCTGGTGGGCCCCTGCTCACCTCATGACCTCAGCCAAGTCACCCTCTTTCTCTGGGACTTGGACTCATGAAGTTCGCGCTTCTCAAACCTCTTAGCCAAAGCCCCTAACAGGCTAAGGAGAATGAACTTGTAAACATCCATGAAAATATTGTCTTTCATCGTAGAACTTCATGTAAATTTGCAATCTGAAGTATCTCAAAGTTTAAATTACTTTAGGAAGCATTAGGTTTTGAGAATATCTTAAGGTAGAAAGAAATGGAGAAATGAACTGTTCAAGTCTTACACTTATTTTAAATCTGTGAAAACTGCATGTAATAGTACAACCATAATGAAAATGTCCACTACATCTTTTTAAAGATTGTTAAGGCCAGGTGTGGTGGCTCATACCTGTAATCCCAGCACTTTGGAAGACTCAGGCAGGAGGGTTGTTTGAGATCAGGAATTCGAGACCAGCCTGGGCAACATAGTGAGATGCCATCTCTGCAAAAAGAGAAAGAAAAAGGAAAATTATTTTTTTAGACTACGTAATACGTTCACATGGCTCAACATTTTTTTTGTTTTTTGTTTTTTTGAGTTGGAGTCTCACTCTGTTGCTCAGACTGGAGTGCAGTGGCCGCTCCCGGCCACCGCAGCCTCGACCTGCTGGGCTGAATCCATCTTTTCGCTCAACCTTCCAAGTAGCTGGAACTACAGGCGTGCGCTACCACGCCCGGCTAATTTTTTAAAATTTATTGTAGAGATGAGGGCTCGCCAAGTTGCCCAGGCGGGTCTCGAACCCATGGGCTCAGGTAATCCACTCACCCTCGGCCTCCCAAAGCGCAGGATTACAGGCTGAGCCACCGAGCCTGGCTTGGCTCAACATCTTAAAGCATAAAAAGAAAGATTCTGCTCCTAGACTTTTGCTGGGGCTGTGTCCTGATAAACCCGTGGTAATTTGAAAATATCACTAGGTTGACCATGTTCTTAATCCACCTCACCTACAGAGCATCCTGGCATAGCCCGTCTTAAATGTGCCCAGAACGCTTACACTCACAGCTGGACAGAGTCATCCAACACAAGGCCTACTCTGTGACAAAGTGCTGCACAGCTCATATACTATATTAAATACAGCCTGAGAGTTGTGTGGGAACCCAAATCACTCCTGCACCCCGTAAGTGAAGAGACCATGGGGGAGCTGCCGTAAGGGGACCATCTCCATGTGATGTGACACACAGTGGGACGTCTCCCAACACTGTGTCCCAACCACTCTTCACTTCCCCTGAAGGCAACTCCGTTTCTCAGTTTCTTGTCTGTCCTTTACATTTTGAAACACTTAAACACTCATTTTAAAGTTAAAAACTCATTTTTTAAGGAAGCAAGAGTTTCATCCTAAAAGGGAACCAATAAGTTTTAAGCAGGACTGAGACACGCAGGGCTGGACTCCAGGAAGCCTTCTGTGGTTGGGGGTGGCCTGGGGCCCAGCTCAGTTGTGCCAGCAGGTGACAGTGACACAGAAGCAGGACAGTCCAGGGGTGGGTGGGGCTTGAATGAGAGTGAGGCTTAAGGAGGACGGGGCTTGGGTGAGGACAGATGGAGGGCGGGCTGCTGAGGTGGTCCTAGCCCCTCCTCCATGCCTTGTTCCGACAGGTTCCTATTATCTGACCACCACTTATGGGGCCCTGGAGCACATCAAGAACTATGACAAGATCACGGTAACGCGGCAGCTGAGTGTGGAGGTGCAGGACTCCATCCACCGCTGGGAGCGCCGGCGCACACTCAACAAGGCCCGGGCTTCCCGCTCCTCCGTGCAGGTGACCGGGCTGAGGCAGGAGGGGGGCCATGCACAGACACCACCCCATGCCTGCTGGCTCAGGGCCAAGATGACCGGTGCCCCTCTGGCCAGTCCCGCGTCTGGGAGCAGCGAGATCCCGGCACCCAGCCCTGCCAGGGGGTTTGGTACCCTGCCTGGGTGGATGGGCCTAGAAGCGTGCTTCCGTTGGATGCTGTAGCTGGGAAGATGAGTGGGAATGGGGTGGGGAGGAGGGAGACGCGTGCATCAGCACTCCCTGAACCCCGTGGCCCAGCACCTGGCTAGGCTGGGAAGGGAATAGGCACCGAGAACGAGACACGTGTGTCAGCGCTCCCTGGCCCCTGTGACCCAGCACCTGACTAGGCTGCAGGTGTGGACACAAGTCCTCCCAGCATGCCCCGAATACAGCTGCCTGTGGTCCCTGGACACATGCAGCAGCTGGCAAGGGTCCCTGCCCCTTGCCTGACCCCTACTCATATTCAAACCCCAGACTCCTGCCTGTCCCACACCCCACGCACCCCAATTCACAGCAGCACAACACAGCTCCACAGTGTGTTGGGCCTGCTCACTGCCCGCCAGCCTCTGCCCATGCTGGCCTGTCTCCCCCGCTTCACTGGCTGTCACTGCGTGTCCTCTAAGACAATTCAGTTTCTCCAGCAGCCCTCATCTGAGAAGCCTTGCCTGATACTCCCCGCCTCCTCACACGCCCCCATTCCCCATAGGCCAAGTTGGAGTCCCCCCATTCCCCCATGCTTCCTGCTCTTAAGACAGTACCTATCATACCACATCTAACCTGCACACAAAGCTGTCACCTCTGAGCGGGCACAGCCCATGGTTCACATGTCTCAAGGGTCTACCTGAGTGGCACTGGGTGTGTGGAGAAGGAGTCAGCCAGCTATGCAGACTCACTTTCCTGGCACCTAGAGCATACCAGTCCTGAACCCAACTCCTGGCTCCCGAGAGACCCATCTCTAGCAGGCAGAGCCCAGGCCTGGGAAGCAGGAGGCTCAAGCTCTGGACCCAGCCCTGTACAAGCTTGCTGTGTGGCCCTGTGCAAGCTCTGCCCCTCTCTGGACTCAGTTTTCCTACCCACACAGGCCAACTGGCTAATCAATAACATGTTGGTAAATGTTTGATAACTGGCTCTTGAAGGAGGAAAAAGGCTCTGATTTTAGCTTCTGTCAATTTCCCTGGCATAAATACTCCCGCCACGGCCAGTTTCAACGTGGTGTCCCTGAGCTGCAGCTGGACAGTGCTGTATGCAGTCAGGGCTCCTGTACACTCCTGTCCCTGTCCCCTCCTGCACACTGTCCCCGAACACTCTGGGATGCGGTCACTTGGTCCAAGCCCAGCATCCCTGTCTTTTCGCCTCCGCCCTGTGGGATCCTGGCGAGCATCCAGGAGAGCATTCCGAATAGGGAGGGATGGGGGATGAGGAACCCTCAGCCCCGCCCCCCAGGGTGCACAACCTCCCCCGGCTGTAAAGGCTCAGAGCCAGTCACCAGTGGGAGGCCTCACGGAGGACAAGGAGTCCCAAGACCCCCCACTGGGGTGGGCACTGGGCTCCTCCCCTCCCCCCCAGGAGCAGTCCAGGGAAGCTCTTGGTCTGGAGCCCTGGGGATCGCCTAGGGGTCACCCGTGTGCTGCGGTCACTTCCATCTTCCAGGAGGTGGGTGTCCCTGGCACTCTCAGGGGGGCTCTGCCAGGAAGAGATCAGAAAGTGAGTGAATGACGGGGGTCACGCGCACCGGCCACCAGGGGCCGTGCTCACTCCT